AGGATGCTTGGGATGCCATGTACAATCACACGATAAGCAGCAGAAAATTCCATGCTGGAAAATTTGGAGCATCACGTTTGCCTCACGAATTACACCACAAAATGGCTGGCATAATAAAAGTAAGTCAAGATGCTAGTTTTAGACTTTCAACTTTTTGTATGCTGGTTTTATAATTATTTTGTGCTCTCTTCTAGGATAATCTTGGCCGAGAAAAGGATAAGAAAGATCGAGAAAAAGACAAGGAAATTGACAAGATGTCCCACTATCTAATAGCTATCTGTGAAGGAATTTCTGAGGTACGGTAATGCCGATAACATGATGATCTAGAAGAATAAAAATCTTTCTTAGGACATTATGAAATGGACCGGAAATTATGTGAAAAATATCAAAAACTCAGATTTGAAGATAAACTTGGCGAATTTGAAGATTGCACTAAGTGCGGATAAGGTGAGTTCTCATGCACATAAGCTTGATATGATTTGCTTTCGTGAAGGTCTTAACTTCTTAGCTTCGTGGTTATTCCCGTAAATTATGATTTTCTTTAGTAAAAGGTTTCAATAAATGTTTTCTAGGCACTCATGCAGTTGTCAAATTCGCTGAGAAATGATGACGATGATCAGTCGCCCGGAGGATTCTTGTCAAATTTCTATGAGTTTGATCTGGATGAGTCCGACGAAGAAGTAGAGCAAAATACTACTTATGAGTCGGTGGGAAGACTTTTTCTCCGGGTTCAATCTATATTACTGGTCTTTTTTCAACTTTCGACATTGCTAGCTTTTTTTTCTTATTTTGCATAGTTTGCGATGAACTGCTTATTCATCAGAATGCTTTGAGATAAAAGCATTCTGATGAATAAATAAGATTTTTACAGATTGCTAGCGATTTTCTCAAAGAAGAAAGGTTGTATCTTCGGGAGCTGAATCAAGTCAATGTATTCAGACGCAGACTGGAAGCTGTCTTGCAGGATGAGGATAAGGTAGGTTATCTAGACTTGTAATCTATACTCGATGTTGTTGTTATCCTGTTCAGACATTTTTGTAGATCTCTGTTTCCCGCTGAAAAAAATGTCATCCTGACTTTTGCTAAATTTTATCATAGGTCTCTCTTTAATGTTTGGGACCATATTTTTTCAAGAAATCGGTGGACAACCCATCCGTTTCTTCTCTATCCTTTCTGTCTGCTACCCCCGTAGCACTTCTATACCAATATTTTGTGCCAGATCTACCTACGGCTTCTGTTTGGCAATCTTTCGGAGATCCACGAGCTCACCATGAAAATGGAAAGGACTCTAGAAGATTCTATCGAAATGAGCGATT